GCCTCCCTCCCCGGCCCGCGCAACCACCGCCGCCTCCTCCCCCGGCCCGCGCAGCCGCCACACCCCTGCTTCCTCCCGCAGCCGAGCCACCTCCCCGGATCCCCGATCCCCACGCCGGCGCACGCCCTCCCCGGAGAACCCCGCCGCCGCGCCCTCATCCTCACCTCCAAGCGCCTCCATCCCTTCGCCGTGCAGCGGACCTAGCCACCAAGCGGATCACGCCGCCCCCACAAACCTGATCGCCGATCCAGTCGAGGGGGCGGCTGGATCCAGCCGGCCACGACCCCCGGCAAGGCATGGGAAGCGGCGTGCACGGGGCGGCCTCCTGCTCGCCCCTTGCACCAGCTCCGGTTATCTTCCCCACGCTCGGCATATCACGACACCGGTTCTTGGACTTTCAACTGCAGTGCAGCTTCCTTCCTCGAGTACAGGTTGTCGGTTCGCCGCAAGCTGGCCATATGGTCGCCATCGCTCGTGTGTTACCTGTTGTCGCTTCTCTCAGCGACCTTCCTCGACAAATTTCATTGAACTTCCCCATGATCATGGTTCCAAAAAATATGGAAGTTCAAAAAGTATTGGTTGGGCAGCATGCACACAGTCTCGCCTCTCCTCTGTCTTGTGCTCCAGGAGAACAGGCCAGGACGCAATAAAACATCGATGGTGAATTTATGACGAGAGAAGGTTCTGATTACGTGCTCTGTATATGCTTGTTGATATGCCAAATGAGAACCGGTACTATTTTTCTTCAAGTTGTTTTGCTGATGTTTGAGAGTTAATATTGTAGATGTTCAATGGATATGAGACTTGTTTTGACCTTGCACTCTTAAAAAGACCACCCTACATTAAAAAAAGAGCACCCAAAAACTTTCCTACGTGTAGATGCATCCGCGCTCACATCTTTGACCTCCTTCCTGTATATTATGTACTTAAATGTGCTTAATGAAAAATAAGTTCATGAGAAGTTCATATATTATTATGTGGATAGGTCATGTAGAAGAACTACCCAGTAATTGAAAATTTTAAAGACAACAAATTTCTGTAGTGATTTGTACGTGTCCAGTCCAATGTGTTGGTCTTCTTCACTCTGTATTCACATTCTAGAAAATGTGTTCTATTGTTTCGGCAATTCTTCCTTATGTAAATGGCTCTACGCTGAGCACTTCTAACCTGTCGTGGAGAAGTTTTGTATTAATTAATTATGATCTTTTGCAAATGGAATTGTTTTTCCATTTTGCAAAAAAACCAGAGAAGTTCAAATTAAATTAATAGAGCGGTTTGATGTTCATAAAAAAAGAAAAAATCTCATTTATAAAACAATAAAAACACGAATAAACCAAGAAGTTAAGTTCGAATAAACCAATGTTGAAAGAAAACAAAAAGAAAGGAGAAGTTCAATTTCTAAAGATGACGTGGTTCGACGTGCTAAAAAATGTTGAAAGAAAACAAAAAGAAAAGAAGAAGTTCAATTTCTAAAGATGACGCGGTTTGATGTGCAAACCGATGCAAAAACAAGCACTAAAATGTTGTTTTGGTGTCTTAAAATATTTTTATTCATAAAAAAATATTAAACAAATAAAACGAGGAAGTCCATATTAAAAAGATGGAGAAGTTCGATGATTATAAAAAACTCAAATTTTCCTTGTTATTAAAGAAATGGAAACAAGAAGTTCAAAAATAAAATAACAAGAAGTTCAACTTTTAAAAATAGAGCGCTTCAAATTTCATAAAAAAATATTAAGAAATAAAACCAGGAAGTCCAAATTAAAAAGATGGAGAAGTTCGATGATTATAGAAAACTAAGATTTTCCTCGTTATTAAAAAATGGAAACAAGAAGTTCAAAAATAAAATAACAAGAAGTTCAACTATTAAAAATAGAGCGCTTCAAAATTCATCTAAAAGGATTAAGAAAAATAAGATTAAAAATTCGTAAAAAACTCAAATATTTTCATGTAACCAAGAGAAGTTCAGGTTGATAACTCCTAGAAGTTCATGTAATACACGGTGTGCATTTTGTATTAAAAAATAATAAAAAAGCGAAGGCAATTTTTGTTGTTGTTATAAGTTCAAGTCCTTTGTTGGAGAAAGTTAAAAAAATTATTGTGAGAGAGATTTGTACAAAAGGAATAACATTTGTGTAACACTGACGAATGGATGAGAAAATTACAAATGAAAATACGTCACAGAAATTTAACGTGAAAACAGCATGAAGTTCAACTACTACGCTGAATGAATTTCAGATGAAAAACTTTTAAAATCATCGCGAGCATGAAAAAATGATCAATACGGGAAAGTTATGTGCTTACAGCAGCTTTCCACCGGTATATCACTTGCTCAATTCCGTTGAGTGGATGGAGAGTTACGAGAAGTGGATGGATACCTATGAGAAGAAAAATCACGTGAAAAAACAGAGTGAAGTTCAGGTACATGCGCCGAGAAGTTCAGGTTCTTCACGTGATGCATTTTCGAATAATCTGTTTCGCGATAGAGGCAGAACGAATGATCCCGCCGTTTTCGAAATTACTTGAAAACGGCTACGAATCATAGAAAACCATCAACATGAATTTTTTTTGCATTTCCCGTAGCTTTTCAATGGTATATTATTTGCCCAATTCCGATAAAGTTTGTAGAAATTACAGCAAAAATACGTATTTCGCCATTTTCAAAACTGACTTAAAACCGTAAAGAATTGGGAGAAACAATACATACCAAAAAGTTTCGCATTTGTTCAAGATTTCCAACGCCATATCATTTGCTGCATTCGGACGCACGGTTAAAAAATTAGCTTGAAAATACGAACTCGGTAGGACTTGGACCATTTTCTAAATTACTCTTAAACCATTCAAAATTAGAAAAAAACTTTCAAGATGAAAAAGTAGCGCATTTTCATAAGCTTTCCAACGCAATATGATATGCCTCCATTGAATTAGCCGTTTAGAAATGACATCGAAAAAACGAACTCAGCTGTTTGGTTTAAGAAATTTTAGGTTTTTTCAAATTACTCTTTAACCATAGGGAATTAGAGAAAACTTTCAACATGTGGAAGGAGCGGTTTTGCAGCAGCTTTTGAACGCCATATTATATGCCTCATTCCGATAAACGATTTAGAAATGCGATCAAAAATACGATTCACGTTTTTTGTGCGAAGAGAAAACGGTTTTCAAAACTGCTCTTAAACCGCTTACATTTTGTCAAAAATTTAATTTGGGTCATGATACTGGTGTCCATAGCTTTTCAATGATATATCGCAAGCCCTATTTGGGCAATGTTGCGGAAGTTCAACCTAGTTCACAGAGAAGTTCAACGTACTACTAGCGGGGCAGGTCAGGTTGTGATCAGAATATTATTCTGATCCCGTGATCAGAATAGTGTTTATGTATATGAGTGCAACAAAAGTTTTTTATCGAAAAAATTCATCAAAAGTCATGGAATTTCCAAACTTTGGTTGTAAAAACATATGAAATATGAGATACAAAAAAGTAGTGCCAAACAAAAACACAAAGAGAAGGAAAAAAAATTAGAGCAGTGGTTACCGAGGGTCGATTATCGGCTCTCAGTAATGGCCACTTTTTCCGAGAGACCCTCTCGGTAAAGCATCTAACCTAGATCTTAACTGTTCCCCTTTCTTTCTATCTTCATTCTTCTCCTTCTTTGTTCCCTGCGCCACCGCCGCCGCCGACGCCGAAATTGCCACCGTCGACCCTGT